GAGGCAGGCGGATCTCTGTGAGTTCAAGGCCAGCCTGGTGTACGTAGTGAGTTCCAGGACAGCTGGGGCTACAGGGAAACCCTGTCTCAAAAAAGACCAAAAAGAGAAAAGGAAAAAAAAAAACAAAAAAAAAACACTAACTCCCAATCATTCTGCAGGTCTCTGTTTAAATGGCGTCATTCTAACCGAGCCTAGCCTGACCTAGCCTCTCTACCCATCACTCTCATGGAAACTTAATCAACTATGTGTTTCTGTAACAGCTTCCTGTGCTTATCACCGCCACAGCAAAGACTGAAGTGAAATGTGACTGTGATTTCTGCAGTATCTACCTCTATATTAAAGTGCAAAGTTTTAAAAAGGCATATAGGGGCTGGCAAGGTAGCTCAGCAGTTAAGAGCACTTACTGCTCTTCCAGAGTACCTGAGTTTGTTTCCCAAAACCCACCCATGTAAGGTGGCTCACAGCCACCTCTAACTCCAGGCCCAGGGAATCCAAAGTCCTCTTCTGGCTTCCAAGGGCACCCACAAACACAGGTACATACGCACACAGAGACACACACACAATACACATAAACACGAAATAAAATAATTTTTAGAAAGGGCATATAGGAGGCCAAGCTTGGTGGCACATGCCTTTAATCCCAGCACTCGGGAGGCAGAGGCAGTTGGATCTGTGTGAGTTCAAGTCCAGCCTGGTCTACACAGTGAGTTCCAGGTCAGCTGGGGCTTCAGGGAAACCCTGTCTCAAAAAGACAAAAAAAAAAATTTTTAAAACAGAAAGGGCATATACCGGGCTGGAGAGATGGCTCAGTCATTAAGAGCAATAGCTGCTCTTGCAGACAACACAGGTTCAATTCCCAGCACCCTCGTGGCGGCTAACAGCCATCCATAATCTAGTTCCAGGGGATTTAATGCCCTCTTCAGACCTCCATGGGCATTGCACCACATGAGTGCACTTACAAACATGCAGGCAATATACTCATATACATAAAATAATAAAAATAAGTATTTTTTAAAAAAGGGTATATAGTATCTATTGTCACCATCATTTTGAAGCAAATATCTTTGAATATTTAAATGAAATGCCCTTCGCATTTCTAACAAACATATCCGATGAAAGAATGTATCTATTTGAAATAGTTTATGAATCTCCCCAAAGAAATTCTTGAACATCTGGCAAGTTACAAAAAGTTACACTTCTATGCTTGTCAGAACACATAAATGTGTAAATTAGCTAATCTGACCAACTCCAGTACCTGCTGAAAAGATGTCCATTGCTCTCTTCAACTCTCCTCGCGTCCTCTGATTGCTATTTAAGTCTACGAGTGGAGTTGAGGGATCTCTCATATATTCTAACTCAGTGGCAAACATGCCACCATCAACAAAACGTTCAGGAGCAATGTAGCAAGTCCTCCTCCGAGAGGTATCGAAGAAATAGTTGAAGTCTGCTGGGTTGTCCTCTGGAAGGTAAGTGGGCTTAAAACTGGCAAAATCCGTTAGAAGAACCCAGTTCCAACTGGTGACCATCACGTTCTCAGTCTTGATGTCCCCATGCCGGACTCCAGATTTGTGCGCTTGGTCCACTGCGGTCAGGATCTGGAAAGCGATCCAGCGCTTCTCGATGTTATTTAGAAAGGGCCGGGTACTGATGCGATCATAGAGGTTGTCCCTCACATACTGCCGAAATAACATAGCTGCTTTTTCAGATGCTTTTTCTGCTGCTTTCTGGAAAGGTAAGCAATTCTGTGCAGAATGAAGCCTGATCTTGAGTTCCTCCAGCTCCTGTTTATAACTGGTTAAGGGTAACGTGGGATCCTGAATTGCAAAGACCTTCACAACCACCAGGCCTTCTCGGTGCTTCGCTCGGGCAACTTTAAAAAAGCGAGTGCTTCCCAAGCTCTTATCATATTCAAAGTCATGGATGTCTGAGAAATAACTCTCTACAGAGAGGATCTGGGAAGGAGCAATGCCAGCAAGTTGGTTTCCCATGATGACAGGCACCTCAGGGTCAGCAAGGTACAACACAATGCCTACTTAAAACGACAGGGAGGGGGGAGGCCAGAGAGAGAATGATCATTAAAATGGGAAGAAACAAAAAAGTGAAGGAATCACCATTACATGGGCTTTTCCTAAAATGCAGATGCATCCTACTTCTTTTCCACTGGGTGTATGGAACCTAGTAGAACCAAGCAGTCTGCAAAACTCAGTCAAATTTATATAAAGACCCATTTTACCCAGAAAGAGGTGTTACTTCATGACATCCTTTCCACAAGCGGAACTACATTTAAATAGGTTCCTTCAACGTTGGTTTGGTGGGGTTTTTGTTTGTTTTTTGGTCTTTCTGACTCTCTCTGTAGCCCCAAATGGGTTGGCCTTGAGCTCACAGAGATTCCCCTGCCTTTGCTTCCCCAGGACTGAGACTAAAGGAGGAGCCAGGAGGCCTGAGACCCGGTTTTCTTCAATCTTTTGCTTTTGTTCTGTGATAAGATCTTTTGTAGGTCCGGCTGACCTTGAATTCCTGATCCTCCTGCCTCCACCTCTCCAGTGCTGGTTTTTACAGGCCTCTGCACCAGGCCTGCCTGGTCCCTTCAACATTAAGCTAAAATTTCATAACAGGTATTTGTTGGTATCGGTTTAAAGTGTTACTGTGCCTTTACTATGTGTTCAGTACCGTGTTTCATGCTGCAAAGTCACAAAAACACCTTATAACACAGTTCTTGTCCAAGCAAACTGTAATTTCTTTGGAAAAAAACCTTTCTTTGGACATAAAAACCTTAAAAATACAATCACCTGACACAAACGGGTCATTTAATTCCTGGGTTGGGCAGCCGAAATCAGTATCTTCTTGGCCCTCCCACCATCTACACCGAGGCACCAACTCCTCTGATCTGCAACAAGAAGAAAGCCCAGCAGGGTCGTTCAGGGAACGCAAACCCAGGCGCACACCCGCGCGAAGAGATCCAAAGTCACCTTCCGCGGGAACAGTCTCCCACCCCGCCCCGGCTCTGCACACGGAGGAACGTCATCCTAGGCCTCAGGCTAGCACACTGGGGTCCCGGCAGTGCAGGGGGGCTGGGGCGCGACCGAGGTCCGCAAGGGGACGGCGCGGGCGGGGACCTTCACGTAGGAGCCGAGAGGCTGGAGGGAGAGGGGCCAGCGCACTCGACTCTACCCGGGCAGCTCTGGCCACCCACCCGCCGGCCCCGCCACGCATCCCGTCCCCGGTGGCCTCCCGCACGGGTCGCGGGACCCCTCGGGCCGGAGCCTGGCCTCCACCCGGCTGGGAGGTGCAACGACAGGGCGCCCTTTCAGGGAAACACTACTTCACCTGCGGGAAACAGTGAACTCCCGGGAAAGCCTCCGGGTTGACCTCACTTCCGACTGCGGAGCGGAAGTGACGGAAGGAGGTCTAAGGAAGCGCGCTAGTAGGAAACTAGTTGCTCAGGAATGAGGGGAGCCTGGAGAATGAAATGTTTTCGTTCCTAAATTCTGAGGCCTGCCTGGTCTATGTAGTGAGTTCCAGGCCAACAAAATCTGCATATTGAGGCCTGGGGTTCGATTCCCAGCACTTTGGCTTACAACCACCTGTAACGCCAGTTCCAGTGAATCCAACGACCTCTTCTGATCTCCGTGGGCATTGCAGGACATGGGTGCACTTACATGCAATCAATACACTCAAATAAAAATAAAATATTTTTTAAAATAATCAAGAGCATACATAGTACTACTGCTACTACTGTTGTAGTTTTGATTTGCATTTCCAAAAAGACTAATGATGTTGAGCATTTTTTATGTATATGTTGGCCATTCATTAACTTCTCTGGGGGAAAAAATGTTTATTTAATGGGGCTAGAGGAGCAGTTAAGAGCACTGACAGCTCTTGCAGAGGACCTGGGCTCTGGGCTTAGCACCCACATGGTGGCCCACAACCCATCTGTAACTCCTGTTCCAGGTGATCCTATTCCCTTTTCTGGCTTCTGCAGGCACTGCATGCACATGGTACACTTAAGTACATGCAGGTAAAAGACATACACATAAAAATAAATATTTTATTTAAATCTTTTGTCAGGGACTGGAGATACAGCTTGGTGGTATATTACTGCTTAGCATGCTTGGGGCCCTGAGTTCAATCTCCAGCATCTCAGAATAAAGTAAATCCTTTGTATGTCTTTAATTGGTTCTTCATTTTTAAAAAGTATTTTATTATTTTATGTGTATGAGTGTATTGCCTGCATGTATGTGAGTGCACCCCTGTTGTGCAATGCTGCGGAGGTTAGAAGAGGGCTTCGGATTCCCCTGGAACTGGAGTTAAGGACGGTTTTTGGCCACCCTGTGGGTGCTGGGAATCGAACCGGGATCCTCTGCAAGAGCAGTCCGTGCTCTTGACTGCTGAGCCATCTCTCCGGCCCCTGGTTCTTCATTTTTTAAGTTTTAGGAGTTCTTTATATAAGGTCAGGCATGGTGACCAATGACTGTATTCCCAGGATTCAGAGACACAGGTGGTAGGATAGACATTCAAGGTCAACCTTGGCTTCATAGCAAGTTTGAGGCCAGCCTGGGCTACTTGAGACCCTGTATTTATATCTATCTATGTATGTATCTATCTATGTATCTATCTATGTATCTATCTATCTATGTATCTATCTATCTATGTATCTATCTATCGATCGATCTATTGATCTATCAATCTATCAATCTATCGATCTATCATCTATAAAGAGTTCTTTATATAATAAAAATAGCAAATGCTTGAATCCACAACTGAATATTTTATTTTTATTTATATTTCTTGGTTGTTTGAGATGGGGTCTCTCCGTAGCCCCAGTTGGCCTAGAACTCTCTATGTAAACCAGGCTGGTTTAATCTCACAGAGATTCACCTTCCTCTGCCTCCTGAGTGTTTGGTTTAAAGGCATATGCCACCATGCCCCCCGGCCCAACTGTATTTTATAAGCATTCCTAAAACAACATTCCTTTCACCCATTAGCTTCCCCAAACCATAAATTTGGAAGTTATTACATCATACCTGGCACCTTTCTTCTCTTTCATCTGTTCCCCCATCCATTCAATGATCACCTGCTCTGGTAAGGTGGCCCCAAGATATGCAGTGGCTTCAGGGTCTAGGTGAAGTGACCTTCATTCTGTGTCTAGATTTTGGCACTTACATAGGAAAGGTTCCCCGCCACAATATTTTTTTGTTTCTCTCATGAGTTCTGTTTTGTTTTTTTTTTTTTTCATTTTGGATCCTTAAATTATTGAAGTATCTATCCAATTTGAGGGGTTTTTTTTTTCAGATACTCAGTTACCAAAAAACTGTTAACAAGTGAACCACTCTCCCACTTATTTAAAATGACACAATTAGTATGAAAAAATGTCCTATATGTATATGAGGGTCTTCTGAACTCTTCTGTCCATTAAGATGCTGTTTCATTTATCTGTCAATAGTTTTAGTAATTATACAATGTTTTCCCTTTTGACAGGACTAGGCCTGGAGTGATTGTTTAAAAAAATTCAATTATAAGCCGGGTGTGGTAGTGCACACCTTTACTCCCAGCACTTGGGAGGGAGAGGCAGGCAGATCTCTGTAAGTTTGAGGCCAGCCTAGTATACAGAGTGAGTTCCAGGCCAGCTGGGGCTACAGGGAGACCCTGTCTCAAAAAGACAAAAAAAAAATAGAACAATTATAGGGGCTGGAGAGGTGGTGGTTCAGTGGTTAAGAGCACTAGCTGCTCTTGCAGAGGACCTGAACCCACATGGGGGCTAAGAACTGTCTGTAACTCCAGTTCCAGGGGATCTGATGCCCTCTTCTGAACTCTATGGGCACTGCATGACATGAGTACACTTAAACACATGCAAGCAATGCACTCATATGCATAAAATAAAAATAATAAAATAGTTCTTAAAAGTACAATTTATAATCATGACACCTCAACGTAAACCATTCTAGAAGCTCAGTCTCACTTTTAGGCTAAAGTTAAAAACCCTCAACTTTTTGACAGTTGATGACTACTGGGGAAGGATTCAATTTTCTTTAAAGGTGTGGCCCTTGGTAGGTCAATCATGCTCAGGTGGCTGGCCCCACATCCATGCATATGGGCAGCTCAAATTGGATTCACCTAAAGCTCAGGAAACAGAGTGGAGCAAGGAGTAGAGAGAATACTAATGCATCTCTCAATTCTCACGAATGAAGCTTCCTCATGCAACAGTGGGTGATATATTAAACCTCACCAACCCAGGGATCAGGGACCATTGCCAAAGAGGGAGCAGAAAGATTGTTGGAGCCAGGGACGGTGCATGTACTAAGGAAACAATCTCCCAAGCTTCTGGAAACTTGCTCATATGACTTACAGCAGTAGTGACAACAAATGCACAAGACACATGTAAACTCAATCAGAAAAAAAAAAAACCAGCACAGAACTGGGGAAATGGGCAGGAGGCCCCAGCCTTAGCTGAGGAACTACCAGCAGCTGATCACTGCTGGGGAGAGTTGATCTTCTTTAAGAGAGTGATGCTAGACAGGTTGAGCAGGCTTCAGTGGATGAATTCACACCATGAGACATCTGGGTACACAAACTTGACTCGATAGACCTTAACATATAGGACGGAATGCATGAAATCTGTGTGTACGCTATGGGGGGGGTGCACATAGGGAAGGAGGGGGTCTATGATTAAAATGTATGAAATCACAAAAATTCAATAAAAACATACATTAAAAGTTTTTAATAAAATTAAAAAAATAAAAAGAAAAGGTGAGCCGAAGAGATGGCTCAGCGGTTTAAAGCACTTATTGTTGCTCTTCCAGAGGACCCAGGTTCAATCCCCAGCAACCCCGCTGGGTGGTTCACAGCTACCTATAACTCCAGTTCCTGGGGATCCACTTCTACAGGCACCTGCACTCATGTGCACATACATACCCACACACCGACATACATATATATGCATAATTAAAAAATAAAATCTAAAAAAATAGAAGCCATGAAGTTGGCAGGGAGTGGGGGTGGATCTGAGAGGAGTGAGAAGGAGGAGTGGGGTGAATTTGATCAAAATACATTGTGTGCATGTGTGAAATACTCAGTAAAGATATATATTTTTTAAATTCTCAGGTAACTAGAGGGCACATCTGATTTGACCCCTGCCTAAATCCCCCTACACGAGGCATCCTTTGCTCTCCTCCCTGTCCCACACAGTGGCCTTCTCTTTGTTCATAGCCAATAAGAAGGCCTTCACAGTCACTCTTTTTCTTCTCCTTATAATGCTCATTCCTTTTCTCTTTGTCCAAAGTTGCCATATATTAAGTCCTAAATCAAACAAACACCTCCCGAAGGTCTCTCCTGATTCCCCTATCATTTATTCTCGTGGACTTTCTCTTCTTGGCACTGATCATCCATGAAGTCACTTGACTTGGGGGAAGTATTGACTTGTTTGAAGTCTCTCCCTCCAGACCAAGAATTCCATGGGGGCAGCAACTGAGTGGTTCTTGTCCTCCAGGGTTTCTTCAGTAACTAGAACAATCTGACACATGGAGGCTATTCAAAAAAATACTTGTTGAGACTATCCTCAGGCCTCTTGGGGTAAGTCTATAGCGCAGCTCTC